ACTCCCGCGCAGCACAAGCAGACCATGTTGACAAATATCCACCTGCGCAGCAACGAGAAAACCGAGGCATTGATCCGCAACCTAGCCCGGCTCACAGACCCAGTCCCTTCTTCACCTCGTCCCTGACCTTCTGCTCGTACTCAGGTCTCCGCTCGCGCCACATCTTAGCAGCCTCGACGTTGGCCGGGCTCTCGTCATTGGGCTCGGCAAGCATGCTCATAACGGAGATGAGGATCTTCTCCACGCTCTGGATGGGCGACCAGCGCTCCGATGCGTGTTCGTAGTGGTTTGGGTCATCGCCGGGGGGATGAAGGATGGAGATGCAAACGGTTCCGTTAGGATAGACTGTAATTCAAATTCCAGTAAGATGTTTGCCATTGTGTATTGAGAAAGCGAGCAAGTAGCCAGGCGCCTGGGTTGTCTCGGTTACGTACCGTTCGGGTGCCACACGCCACCTCCAATGAACTTCATAGTCGGCGGGCTCAGGGGGTAGTCTCGCGGGAACTTCAGCTCCGCTGCGAAAACGCCGCCCTCGAAGGGGGTTTCCTCGGGGCCCTGGATCAGGGCTTCCCAATGGAACATGTCATCCTCGGAGATGGGGCCTGCAGTGATACCCTCTGGTGGGTTGGTGGAGAGGTTCTTGTATTCGTGGAAAAGGCGCTTCTGGGCGACGGAGGACGCCATCTCTGCTGTTTAATTGATTGAATTAAAACTGCAATTCGAAATACTTAGGTGGTGAGGTATCTGCGGGGGGGGGACTTGGGTGGAATGAAAGTGGGGATGGAATAATTCCGGGGCGGTGGACAAGGCATGGCAATGCCATGGGGAACCTATTTCTTAGGGTGACGGGAAAATGTCCAGGTGAACGGCAAAAGTCTAGTTAAAGAACAACTACTGCATCTAATAGTGAATATTATAGTACAAAAACTGGCCCTCATCACCGGTCAAAACAATCCCATCATTCACCTCCTCCGTCACCCCAAGAACTATCATCACCCCAAAAGTCATTCTCCCCCCAAGAATCCTCCTCACCCCAAGGACTATCCTTACCCCAAGGATCTTGAGGTTGATCCTCGAAGCCTTGTGACGCCGGGTCCACCGGCTCCGATGCTGGGGCATTTGGGTCGGTTGTGTTGGCCCTCTGCATCGCTTCATACCCAGCCATTGCACCCGCGGTGGTAGCACCTGAAACCATACCATTTGGCACATCGCCAGCGGTTCTGGCTCGCTCAAGAGTCCCTGGAGCGACTCCACCAACGGCCCCTGCTTCACCGGCGGTGGCGCCTTCTGCAGCTGCACCTTCAGCGGGGGCCTGGCCGCCCATATTGAACCCATATGGCGGGAAGTCAAATATACCAAGGCCGCGTTGGTGGCGGCTGAAGTAATCGAAATCAATGCTTACAGCTGTAGCCAACATAACAGCACGTTGGTCGAGGGTCATGCCCAAAGTCTTCTTGTCGTGGGATGTTTCTGTGCCGAGAGCTGCGGAATCCATTCGCATTGCGTAGACACCGGTGTCTGTAAAGATTTCGCGAGCAAAGCCTGCAAAATTTCGATTGACGGATCCAATTAACTGATCGTCCGCTGATTTCAGAGAGAAATCCCATGATAGAAAGGGCTCATCAACGTAGGCAAATTGGTTGAATTGACCCTGCTGTTGGTCGGGTGTTCGTATCAGTTGCATCTGCTGTGCTCGTGATAAGCCAGAATCAGATAGCGAGAAATTACGGGTTCCCATGTCTGTTTCCGAGTTTGGGGACTGCTGATGAGTGAAAAGATTGTACTTTCGCCGTAAAGGTGCCCACTGCTGCTGGGCTTCGCCGATAACTCGCATTTGACCGAGATCAAGTGGGGATATCCTTGCACTCGATAAGTTGCCAGGTTGAATGAGAGCACCGGGTGCTGTGCCTTGAAGAGAGGTGGACGCCGAGTAAGCATTTGGCGTTTGATCAAGAGGGTTATAGACATGGATATAGGAGTTGATCCAAGAGAACGGGCGATTGAACTGCTAGATCAGTCAAGTGCTATAAGACGGCCATTCCATGAACTTACTCGAAGAACTTCATTTTGTTGTCGGTCAAATACATGTGTCACAAAACTTCGATGGGTGCGGAACCATTGCCGTGCCAGTGTATTCACCAATCCCTTGTCCTGTTCTGCCATATATCCAATGTGATTTCCCTGCGCATCCATGATGACATATTTATTCGCTTGTTCAAATCCACTGAAGGAGTCAGTACACATGTTTCTCGCATATGAGCACTTGCGCACTTACATCAGAACATTCATCATCTCTAGTTCTCGTTGTACGACTATTCCTGAGTTCGCCAGTATTGAAACTGCTGGATGGGTTTCTTTAAGCACACCTGTGGGATCTTCAGGCACGTAAACGGGAGAAAGTAGAGTGTTTTGCGATGGGTCATAATTGGGACTTGTGCCACCTTGGGACTCAGAAGTAGCAGGCTCATTCTTATGTGAGGGCTCCGCTTTCCTCGAAGTCTGTATGAGATTCGGTCTTCTTATGCTATTGCGAGGACCGCGCCGAGATCCATGACTTCTGAAGCTCGAAAAAGCTCGAGTTCGAGCTGGTGTCCACTGTTTTTGCAGGAGTTGGAGCCTTGAACCCCACATATTAACCGAGAAAGACCAGATTATCTTACAGACAAAGATTGAGGCAAAAGGTTGATGGGATGAAAGTTGGTAAGTAGTAACTCCATCGCCGAGAGGCTGAAACACCGATGACGGAAGGTCACTGCGGAGATAATCGGAGATAGCAACGGCACATCGTTTATAACGGTTGTACTTCATACTACCCTCATTTAGATCACGGCGGTTCATTTTCAAGATATTCAGCTAGTCTTCTGGCTAATCTATTACTCCATGCTCTACTACTTATGAGTATTACCGAGGAGTGCTCGGCCAGACGTGAGAAATCGCATCTCAAGTGGCCTTGTCTACATATACATAGTAGACTCGTTGACATGTGTTAGGTAGAATTATCAGGTTATATATGAGAATATAGGCATTCTTTTCCATATACAGCGTCGGCTTTCCGATTTTGAGCACGTCTGGGCATATCCAAAAAGATTCATGGCAATCCTATCGGACTAATCCGTCCAGCGGCACCAAACTCCATGGCTTGACCTCACAACCCATCGGCAGCTGCACATGATTCACATGATAACATAAAGATAATAGACCGAATTTTTCACAAAAGACCCTTGCGAGCCAATTCAATTTTCCGCGCAGCTTCGCCCGCCTTGAATCCTCCCTTCGACACACAAATAGCACTTCCTTCTCCAAGTTCGACCTTCTCCTCGACACCAGGGTGAGGGCATGGGCAGTGGTGTGGGAAGTGGACACAAGCAAGAGTTCCGGGGCAGAGGTAGTGGTCGCATTGTGCTGTAAGGAAAGAGTCAGTTATGTGGTCACGAGGGCAAGTGCAATTTCGACGGCATGTTCTCGACAATCAGATATTTGATTCTTACCTCCATTCCACATCTGCTGGTACCGATCACTGTCACTGGGAGCGTTCTGCGACCGCTGTTGTTGACGCTGTTGCTGCTCGCCGCCTCCGAACATCTGGTCGAAGAAGTTGAATTGGGCCTGAGCGACAGAGACAAGAAGGAGAAGAGCCCAAATGGCTTGGCGCCAGCTCTGCAACATAGTTCAAAAATCACAGCGACACTAATAGCAGAATGAACGGGTATTCGTATAGAAAATAGAACGAGTTCGCATGGTGTATAGATGAAGCCAGTTTACGGGTACACACGTGACGCCAAGCCTGATCTCCGAACGAAAAACTTCCCCTTTGGAGCTTCACGATCTACACCTCCAAACAATCCAATTACCCACCATGTTCAAGCCGCGAGTGCTAACGCCCCTGCGGGCACTGGAGCGAGCCTTCACCCCGACAATCCGGTCGACACCGACGCTCTCGCAATCGCAATCCCTCCTGCGCACTCTCTCCGCAACATCCACATTCCCGAAAACCACACCAACACCCTCCCTCTCCCGCGCACTCCTCCCATTCACACAAGTGCGTTACGCCTCACACGCCTCCCAAGGAACGGCCAATCAACACTCCCGTGATCCGGCCGGTAAGCGTCTCGGAGCGAAGCGCTCGGGCGGCGAGTACGTGGTAACAGGATGCATCATTTTCCGGCAGCGTGGCTCGCTATGGTTTCCCGGTGAGAACTGCGGAATGGGACGGGACCACACGATCTATGCAACACAGTCCGGCTACGTGCGCTACTACCTCGACCCACTGAAGCACTCGAAGCGCCGGTATATCGGAGTCGTTTTTGACAAGGATGAGCAGCTTCCGCACCCTCGCAATGCACCCAGCCGACGCAAGCTGAATATGGCACCTGTGCCGATAACGGAACGCGTTGTGGCTCAGTCTGATCTCGTTGCTTCTGTTGATGAGAGCGGTGTCCGTGTGACGGATGTCGCGGCTGTGGAAGCCGAGTCTGGCCCCCAGCTCCGCCCCGGTTACATGTACCGTGAGGCTAATTGGGAAATTGGTCGGGCCGCTGAGAAGGCCGGCATCACAGCTATGGCCCATGATCGTGGTAACCGTTGGTTGGCGTGGAGGAAGCGTCAGCAGAGAGCCGAACGGGCTGCTCAGCTGAAGAGTTTGAAGGGCAAGAAGAAGACAGCCAAGAAATGAGGGCATTTTCCGTGTGCATGATGTCTTGTTCCAATAACTTATGGGTTTCTGTAGCGATATGAGGATTGTATCTGGTGTTTACTGTATTATAGGAAGAGCATTTACCCATCAACTTTCCCAATTCCTTATTTCTTCCTCTCTTTTAGAGATACGGGCACAATTGCCATGTTCAAGCCCATGTTTCATGGCATCGCTTCCAGGGTTGGGTAAGCACAACCCAGGAAGACCAAAAAACAGGCTTATTTATTATCTACATATCAATTTATAACGAGACGTCGCAAGTCATCGGATAATATTTGTGTTAACCTCTGAAACTGTTTTAGGGCGCTTAGGAATCCCGAATAATTTCCGCTGCGATCTTCTCGGCAAGCATGTCTGTGACACGGTTAGCACTGGAGAACAAATCAGAGCAGTACTGAGAGAAACCTACAAACCGTCGACTGAGGATGACCAGGAGGAAGGAAAGGAAATATGCTAGCGTCAACTACGCGCAGTCCATCCACTCCATAAACCCGAGCCTGGGAATCAACCACGGCCATATCATCGTCGGAAGTTCCCATCTTGCAAGTACAACTCGGATGCCACAGGGTCATCACATTATTCTTGATAAACTCGAGGACCTGATCATCAGAACGGACATGGGGCCCGGGGTTGTACTCCTCGCCAATGACCACGGGCTGCATAGCTTCACTCTGGAAAGCCTGGCGTATTCGCTTGAACATGGCAATTGCAACTTCCTGATCAGCCTCATCATCGAGCCAATTGGGATTAATCACTGGTAGATCTGAGGTGTCTGCGGACTTCAAGGTGACATTTCCTCGGGACATGGGTGTAATCAGAACACCGAGTATCGAGGCGTACTGATATCCATCTTTTGGCTGTATTGCCAGGAGGTTTGACACGTTGCCCATATACCCTGCACCAGACATGTACTAGGAATCTCCGTGTTAGCAGCCTTTCTCTATATCTGATAGAATGTCTCTCACCTCTGCTTCAGGCCAGTCGGATGGAAAATTGGCCAGTTTACTCTTCGTTTCCTCGGAGAATTCCTCGCTCAAGAATCGAGGAATCTTCTCCCAGGCCAGGAAATCTGCGATTGGATTTGTGACGACTCCTTTTTTGTTGAGTAACATTTTGGCAATTTGGCCAGCCGCGTACATCAGGTCAGTAGCAAATTTAGTGAATGTTGTCACTCGCACCCGGTAAGAAGGAGCAAAGAAGGGGTGATCCCACATGTTCTGACCAACCCCTGGTCGATCGGCTATAACGTCGATTCCATGCTCTTCTAAATGAGCGATGGGGCCAATGCCAGACACCATAAGGAGCTGGGGGGACTGAAAGGCACCGGCAGAGATGATAACCTCCTCCGATGCCGAAATGACGACAAGATCACCCAGCAATCCTTTCACTTGAACTCCTGTTGCTCTATTATTTTCATCAAAGACCACCTTCTTGGCAAGAGTATTTGTATAGGTGGTCAGTGATTTGGGCCTGATCTTGGATAGGAAAGATTGCTCGGAGCTGCTTCGGAGCTCGTTGGCTGGGTCAATGGTTGATGCGCAATACTGGGCTCCCATTATATTACCCTGGACAAAGTCCTTTGCCTGATCAATGCCGATAGCTTCCATACCGAGGCTCATCCATGACGAAAAAGGCTCGGCAAAGTTAGCATACGACACCTGCAATGGGCCACCATCCGAGTCGTAGGCATCGACATCGAAGTCGGCGGAAGCATTCTGAACCCTATAGTCGGTATTTGGGGGCGAGAACTGAACACTCTTCTTATAGAATGAGAGTACTTCGTCGAATTCGTAACTGCTGTCGTTGACTGTAGTTGCCCATACGTCCATAGATTCGCGTGTTGGACTGCATGTCCGGTTATTCCAGCCTAAGCATTTAGTTTTCATGGGGCTTTACCGTTGGTAAACCATGAAATTCAACGCTGACCTGCAAAGAAATTAGTTTTGATCTGATATGCTAGACTTGGAAAGAGATACCTACGATCCCCCAAGGCATTTTCCTCGGGCGAAATGAATCGACCGCCCGTTGGCACCCGATTGATCTCTTGCCACAAAGCCCCAATCCTCTGGTGAGCTGAAAGTGGGATCTGATCCCATCGACAACGCATCCGCTGCAGGAAACTCCGCCAGGGACTCAAGCTCGTAGTGTCCCCCAGCTTCGATCAAGGCGACTTCGAAGTCGTTCTGTGCTAATCGCGTCGCCATCACGCTTCCAGCGGTACCACCACCAACGACCACATAATCGAATGTTTTAACGGTGAGGGGAATCGCTCCTCGCCTCAAGGACACAGATGCCACGCTAGTCGTCTGAAGTACGAGAAGTACTAGAGTGGTCTGGAACAGCATCGGGAATAATGGTCCAACCGCTGGGGACTTGAGGCAAGATGTGTATGTTGTAGCGAAATGGAGCCGATATGTACAACTCTCAGCAGGACTATTGCAACTGTTGCACTAGAGTAGGCTTATTTCCGAAGATCTTCCAGCCTTGAGACATTGTATTTGGGTTTCATAATAGTATTGAGGTAATTACGGCCCGGCTTAACCGGCCAAATGCACGGCCCAAACCCGTTGGCCGGGTACCCCTTTCCCTAGGTAAGCCCTAAGTGCAGCTGGCTCGAAAATTAAGCATAACCGCGGCCCGTCAGCCTTATCCATGGATGCTCTGGACGAACTTTATTCCTGATTCGCCTCAATTTCAATGTTACATTACATGTGTAGATAGATCATAGAGAGTGCGATAGTTCCTCCGAGAATATTATATTCTCACCGCAGCTACCTACTTTCGACGCGTGATATGAAACTATATCTTGCATAAACCCTCCCTGGATGATCTACCAAGCAAACTACATAATTTGTAATTCATCAAGCCGCACATAAACATTGGGATTCGTGATTCCACTATGACTATGTCTCTGGGTCATTGGATATGGGTTAGGTAACATAATAGATATATCTCGCTACATGTTTCATCATACGAGGCCCTTGATACTTGGCAGTTTCATTCTTCCGAATCAATTCAGTGTAACATAGCTAACATTTTGCCAGATAGAGGTGTGAACCTCTAAATTATGCATAGAATTACTTAGAAATCCGATGAACCTGTGAAACTCCATGTCCACTCCTGTAACTCCGTACAATCGCGAAATATACCAACCTCGTGAAACGTCCGTGCGCAATTTAAGTTAAACGCCAACCCCTGATATACGACCTTGTGAGAACAACATCACTTAAATTTGCGTAGACGTAGACATCTTGTTGCAAAGCACATCACAAAGCGAGAGAAAAGATACATGCCATGAAGAACCCGTTGCACAGCCCGTTGCCTGCCTCACTATCTAGTATCATCCTCCGTGCTACTGCTACCCCACATAGCTGACTCTAGGCTGACCATGTTCCACAGGCGAGTGCAAAAAGGCCGCTGCGATTCTCGAATCCTTCACCAACCCGAAACTCAAGATCGATGGAAAAATCCCACGTAAGATATTCGTAGGAGCCAAGGTAAGAGATATCCTACCGTGAAACGACCCAAACAGACCCGACTCATTCTATGCTAGGGAATCGCCGTCTTCACAGCGCTCAGACTTGGATTCCTGGGCTCAATACGCTTTGGCTCGGGACTGATTGTCGCCCGTCTCCCAGATGGCAGTTGGTCCGCCCCGTCAGCCATGGCAATGGGCGGCGTCGGCGCCGGTGGTCAATTTGGCGCAGAATTGACCGATTTCGTGTTCGTTCTGACTACCGATGCAGCAGTGAAGACATTCATGCAGGCGGGAAACTTGACTCTTGGTGGGAATATATCTATGGCCGTCGGGCCTATTGGTCGTAGTGCCGAGGCTGGGGGAGTAGTGGGTACGAAGGGCGCAACTGGGGTGTTCGCCTACTCTAAGACCCGTGGATTATACGGCGGTCTTACAGTCGAGGGTGGTGTTCTTGGAGAGCGAGCAGATGCAAACAAAAAGTTGTATGGGCGGGAAATCCGAGCAAAGGAGCTGCTGAGCGGATCGATTCCACCACCACCTGAAGCGGAAGCCCTCATCAAGGTTTTGAACGGGGACTTCTTCCGTGTCGAAGGACCTGTGGAACCAGCCCCGGAGGGCATCGAGCAGTCGGGCGAACAAAATCCCCAGGCTTCTATGCAACCACCCGACGGGCAATCACAGGGTATCTTGGCGTCTGGGGATAATCAGTTAGCAGCTGTCGAGTCAAGCGCAGAGCAGACACCTGGAACAGCGGAACCACCCGTCGGAGATTCCCAAAGTGTATCCCCTGAGCGAGAAGATCAGGAGACAACACCGGCTACTGAAAGTAAGCCAGGCACTGAGCTAGCTACAGAGGAAGCAGCTGGAGACCCTGAAATATCCAACACCCACGATGCACCTACGTCAAATGCACCAGAGCCTATATCTACAGCCGAGCATGATTTGGCTGTAGAGCCGAGTCAACGATCACTCAAAGGCAAAGAGCCGGCAGTTGGAGACATGCACGATACCTCTCGTGAGCCAGGTATCCCGGAGCCTATCCCTGCTACTGAGCGGCTATCTGACACCACAGAGACCACTCCTGGTATGACTCGCTGATTACTCAAATAACGTTGTATTGGCTTCCTTCGAGAATAGAGATACCAAATGAGTTTCGTCCTGTTGATTTTGAATACATTTATTTGTAGGTAAATGTGAGTCTAAATAGTTCCATTAAAGACTAGATACGATATACTATGGTATCAATAGCTAAGATAAGGAATCACTCCTCAAACAAGCGACCTAAAATCAAACTTTGGCAAACAAACTCATTACCGACAACCCTCGCGGTACATTTTGGCTCATTAGGGGGTGTAGGAGTGGACGATGCAATCGACCTCTTACGCTTCTTCCCATGGAACAAGTGAATTCTCGGCGTCTGCGGTTTGGGTGTCAACATCGACTTTGCAGCAGCTTGATCTGCATCGTCAACATAGATCCAGTCCCAGTCCGTCGACAGACCGGCATCAGACTGCGAGTCTATTAATGCGCTGGCCGTGCCGAGATCAGGAACACGCTCAACCCGGGAAGCCCCTAGGGCGTAAGTCAGGAAGATGTAGGCTTTCCTCTTTTCCTCGACCTTCCCACGGCCCATGACAACGAGCACCGATTGCCCTGCGAGCAACTTTTTTCGTGCGGAGATGGTTTCGGTGAGGCGGGCTGTGGATGGAGGGTTGGGAGCCATGACTCTAGATTTTGTCGCTCCATTGAGGTACATTGAGTCGCCGGCTGGGAGGAGGTAGATATCCCAGTCAAGGACGCGACCTTGGGCGATGCAGTCCTCTACCCACCGCCCGGACAGGCATGGGAGGTTCAATGCCAGTGCTTGCATGTATTTTTCTCGCCGAGAATAGGTATCGGCAATTAAACAAGCAAAGCCGACTTCCTCAGCAAGAGCTGTAAGTCGGAGACCCTTGCTATTGATACCTGCATCCTTGGCTCCACCTTTGATGGGAGTATCAACAGAAACAATTGTTGAAGGCTCGAATAACTCAGTAAATCCATCATGTAATACAGTGCCGCCATTGTCGACGATTAACCTGGTCACACGATTTTTGGATGCTTCATCCTCCCTGTAAGATACGGCAAACACCATACCAGCAAAGATTCCGCTACCTTGGTGAAGGCTGCGGGACAAGCGACAACTGGGTGAAGCAGGCGCGGATGACCTTTCGGATGGGGTATGGACCATGCTCTCTTGTTGAACAGGCGCCGGGCGATATGTGAACGCGCGATCTTTCAGTTGATTCCACAGGATAGTATCAAGATAGACACGAGATATAGGTACTTTAATCACATTCTCGCCGTTGCCCATCCCTCCATTTGGCAGACTTTTGCGTTGCTTGGGACCGACTATGATAGTGGTATGACCGTAAATGTCGGTTATAGGATAGAGGCCATCGTCAGCGGCTTTAGCCAACTCTTCTTTAGTAAGCTTGTCGTCGAATCCCCGAACGACATGAGTGACCTTTGGAATATTATCCATCTCGATCTTGACAGCGTCTCCGACGCGAAGCTCAAATCTCTTAACGGCACCCTTCGGTACCTCAATAGGAAGACTGTCCTCAAACCTCACAGAGTATTTAACCTGTGATACACCTAGCGGTGTCCCAAAGCATGTCGCTGGATAGTATGCGCGTTTCTGACCCATCCAGACAGAAAGAACCTGACTTGGAGCGACCACGGTGTTTTCCGATAAGGTGTGAGATGGTCGAGGCGTAGTCGGCGAGTCATCGACACTGTACGCCTCTGACTCAATTATATCATCCGAGGCAATTGTTGATGAAACCTCAGTGAGCTCTGACGATGGAGGTGGTGGTCGACTATGAACGACAACCTTTGGTGGGGGTACTGATCTCTTTTCTGAGACATACTTCCCTTGCGTAGACATCGAGGTAGAAGTCTTGCCAATTCTTGATCTCTGGCGGAAGGGCTGCTCAGGCGATCTCTCGATTTCCCAAACATTCTCAGGGGCTCGTCGCGGGGGCTTTGATTGCCTTCGTACGGCTTTTTCGGGGAGTTGCACTAAAGGCACATCATCCGAATCTGGAACTTCAGGAATGGGAGCCGGTCGTTCTTGTGTTGCTCGAATAGGTGCAACGGATTTTGGGGGCTGTGTGCGAGGGGTGAAAGGTATGATAGGGTCGGAGGCAATGTAACTCGAGCCATCGTTGCCACGCCGTTTTTTCTTCGGTCGAGTCGGCGATCCATCGATCAGGGCTTTGAATTCTCGATCCTCAGCAGTGAAAATTCCAATACCCATATCAAATCCTCCAGCCCCGACCTGCGGGGAAAGATCTCCCGCAATTTCTGTCAAAGCCCTGCGTTGGCCTCCGCCCGGACTGGACAACAGCTTTTTGAGAGGCGAAGAGAGTGCCCTTGCCCCGGCTGGGCGGATATGATTATTTCGAATACTGGGGACTTCATTGAACAACATAGGTGGAAGATCGTCGTCTTCATTATTGAGTCCATCACCATTGGACCCAGCCACGGAATTGCACTGGGAGTGACTGGGACTTGTTTCTGGGATACTCGTCAATCGAGCCATGTCACCGAGATGCTTAAGACGTTGATTCATAGGTGTCTCAGCCACACGGGATGGCATCGATGATGAGTTGCCCGAAGTTCCCGCTTCCACCCTGGAATGCGATGAGTTTAGATGTTGCTGCTCCGAGGGGTTGCTAGAGTATGTTGGTATATTCTCGTTAAGAGCAGTAGTCTGAACATGTTGGATGGCATATTCATTTGATACGGAGCCATTTCTCTGAGTATGGCTGTTCGAATGTCTTGATTGTGGTCGCGAGCAGGGAGAGGAGGGAAGGTCTCGAGTAGGAGAATTCATATGCGAACGCGAAGGCGACCGATGAGTAATTTTCCTAGTAATTTCGGGTTCTATGAGCTTTGCCGATGACTGAGGTGATGGTTGAGAGTCTTTCACCATGGCCTGGGAAGAACTTGTAGCACCGTTCGGCTGACTACCAGAGCCTCCATGAGCTATGCCATCATCCGGTTGCTCGTCTACTCGCATGCGAGATGGGGAGAGAATCGGCTCAAACCCAAGTACCTGAGATAGTCGATCGTGGGCACTGGCAGCGGCGGCGGCGGCAGCAGCAGTATCCATTGGAGGCCCCTCGTAGTTCTCTTTATCTTCTTCGGCTGAAGATTGAGGAGGCTCTTGTGACCTGGGCACTTGCATATCTTCCTCTTGTTCGGTTTCTTCCTCGCTGGCAACAGCTTCTATCATTTCCTGGTCTTGTTGTTCACCGGGCTGCTCGGAGGGAGTCCGTAGTCTGGCGGAGAGATTGGATGTAGATCTGGCAGGAGCACTCAACCCGGCGAATTGAGCCGCAGCTTCCTCGTCAATCTCTCGCTGTCGTCGTGCACGTTCTATAAAGCTCGACTCTTTATAGAATTCCTTGTCACTCTGGTCCGACTGGATATTGTCGGCCGACCGAGTCAACCTCTCCCCCAAAGTCTTATCGCGCCTTTTCTGCGATTCCTTCATCGATATATAGTTCATATTCGGTTCGGATGAGTCTCTCGTGAACTGAACCGGCAAGCCCATCAAAGGCGACGAGATACCATTGACAACACGAGCGGATTGAATTGGGATATTGGGCGACGGGCGATCCGATACAAGCTCCGTCTGCAGGCCGTGGACAATGGGAGACGACGGGGCCTGGGTAGCTCCGAAAACCTGGCTCAGCCCAAGAAGCCCACCACTTGACTCGATGCCACTAGCCAGGGGATTCCGCGAGATGCTCGGGGTCTCTGCTGTCCCACCCGCCTCATTTTTTTTCACCACTGTTCCGGGTGTTTCTGCTAGGAATCGTTGCGATTCGGGGAATAAATCGGGTGCATAAGCCATTGGAGAAGACTCGTTCGGATCGGAATTGCTCCCGTCGTCGTTGTCATCGTCATCTTGGGAGAGGTTCGTTCCGTGGTGCACGGTGTCCAGTTCGGAAAGCAGGTCGATATGGCCACTGTCCCCCTCATACAGTGTTCTCAATGTCGCTCCATCGGCTCCCGTTTGTGTATAATCTTGTTGCATGGACTCCCCATTTTGTCTGATAATCTTGTCGTACACTGACTGAGAGATGACCTGGGTATCCCCAGGAGCGGAGCTCATGTTGCCGAATTGCGATCCTGGTACGATGCCCGGTTCATTGCCACTTTTATTGAACATCATTGTGCGTGGTTCATGCTGACGAGGTCGATACAAAGAGGGTCGGTATTGGTGCACAAGGCTCGCTGGGTTTGATGGTGTTTTCGGAGGTAACTGTTGGCCGTTGCACACTCCGTCACCATTGGAAGCACCGTTGACTTTGTGGGATGTGTAACAAAGAGTGTGATTCGGCTCGTTACCTTTTTGTGTAGATCTGGAAAGGTACGGATCGTGCTCCTGGGGATGTCGGAGTTAGTCCAATGAGAGGGACGCTGCAGGGTCGTTACATACTAGCCCCAACGCGTCGCGTTGCAACTTTGCAAGGTCGATGCTATCGTCCTGGGTTTCCATTTTGACGACATACGGTCAGGGAAGTCTAGTATGTCTTGATACGGGAAGCTGTATCCGTATATTTTGTTTTAACGCAGCTTGACACTTCGAATGCGTTACATAAATGCAAATGCAAATGGAGGCGTCAGAACGCGAAACGCGTATCACGTGTCTTGAAGTAATATTACCATTTATAGACTAGCGCCATGAGAGAGTACCATAGACACTCACTCTCAATGGCACTGTGCTCTGATTATTTGAACTAAATAATTTACTAATTGTCTTGGAAATAATCTAGGATGAGACATAATTTCATGGGTCATTATGCAATCATAATACATTTGTGAAGTCATGGACAATACAGCATATTTACAGAGAGGGTATCTGAAGCCCTAAACATCCCCAGCCTTGACGGGACAAACCCAAGAAGAAACTAAGACAATCAATCACGAGTGCGGTTCGGAATCCATCTCTTGACGAGGAACTCGCGCACCTTGTATTGACCAAACAGCGCCCCAATATCATCAACCGAAGCAGCTGGCGGAGGAACTTCGACATAGCAGACGACCAAGCTCTTCAACACCTGGGCCTGTACACGGCTGACGCAGTGCATCCACCACCAACTCCTCGCCTGCTTCTCTGCTGTGTAGTTCTTCCGTTCTTCCGTTTCGGACCAGTATGGGTGATTGTAGGAAGGAATGACGATGACTGCGAACTCGGCGTGGGAGAAGACCGGTCCGCGGTTGTAGAGCAGGTAATCGGTTCCGAATTTGACACCGGAGCGGATAACCCACCCGAGGGACCGGAAGTGGTGGTAGACGGCGTAGGAGATCAGGAAGGGATCATCAGGTTGGAGGGATGCGGAGCCGTCACGAGCGGGTTGGAAGGAGTGGTGGCAGAACTGTCGGAGGAGGGCAGGGGTGGTGGTTGGCGAGGTTGGTTGGGCTTCCCCGGATTTCAAGGGTGAATCGTAGATTTGCAATGCTCCAAGCGAGTAGACAAGGAAGAACGCCTCTTCATTGGAGAGTTGAAGATGCTCCTCATTTGCAAAGTCATCTAAATCGAGGCTGTCGACGACGGAGTCAGGCAACTGTAGTGACGAGGGCGAGTTGGATAGGAATTCTTTCTTTTGTACGATGGGTGAGAAGCGCACGGATTTGCTGTTAGACGAAGTCTCGCGTTGGTTTTGTTCAGCAAGAGTCTCATTTTGCGCAGCCAATTCCCGCGCCTGCCGTGCCTCCAGCGCGCGTGCTTCTTTTGCCTTCTTCAAGGAGAACTTCTCCGTTGTAGCCGCTGTGCCATTAGTCGTATCGTCGGTGGGTGTTGATTGGAGACCTTGGTCAAGAGGCTCAGAAGGAGCAGATTCCCTAGCAGCCGCCTCCGCCTTCAGTCTTTCTTCAATGGCCAGCTTCTCCATCCGGGCACGCTCTAGCTTCAGTTCACGACGTTCTGTTCGTCGCAGTCTTGTCATTTCCTCGCTGGTCTTCCCATTATGTAACCCTCTTCGTTTTTTCTCTCGCGCCAGCCAGCTGGGTTCACTTCGACTGAGACTACCCTTGCCGAAAAATCCCATCTGCCATAAGGCATTAATGGACCTCTCATCCGTGACATGGATAGAGGAGGTGGCTTTGTCGAAGTAGGCCGAGTAGACTTCTTGACGAGGCGGGGAGATAAGGAATGTGAGGTACGAGAGAACAACACTTATAAGAGAAAGAGGGTTATGAGGAATTACAGGAGGAACATGATGTACATTGACCGGAAGAGGAAACTGGTGAATCTGTCTGAAGTTTGGCCTAGGAGGTCGAGGTGCACGAGGCGGACGTGCATCTGATGCAGGCCCTGACTCGATAGCCACAGGCTTGTCCACGCTGGTTACTGGAGTGGCCATCCTGGAAACCGCTACTGGAAGATAATATTCAAAGCACTAAACACAAAATTCGAGGTTAGCGAACTGTGCCGAAACATGCGAGTGAATCAATCGTCATGGTAATATCTTCTCAGATACCGTTGTAGTCAATTCAGCGGATCATCGACAGGCAACTAGAAATCAAAAGTGCCGCCTGCCTGGGCTAAATAAATGGTGTCATCACCGAAGGTGAAGGATGTGCTGGAGAGTGTAGAAGAGCTGAGGATCATCTTACCTAGAAGTCTCTGTATGTATGAACAACCTGAATCAAGTGCCAATTAGTAAAGAATAACCATGGCTCTGTACATTAACAGAGCTCAAGGGTAATTCTAGAGAGATTATTCTCTTTTCTGCTCAAGTGCGAGAGAAAAAGGAAATTTTGCGGTCGAAAGCTCCGTTTAAAAAGCACCCCGTGACTAAGCAGGGTGGTCCGAGCTCTTCATCGTCGAGAAAAAAATTCCTCCACTTATCGCCGACGCAAGTACTAACACAGGACAATTCATCAATACCGTCAAGTAAGTTGACGATTCGTGTTCCAAGTGGTCTTCATTTCTCATGTACTAATATCGCTCTCTTCAGAATGCATCTTATGGTATGTCTCATTGCGACTTCGAAGCGATCGAAGCGAGCGAATCTTCAGCTCCGTTCGGAGATCGGCCACTAATTTTGTGACGAACAGTACACCCTCGATCCCGCTGGCAAGCGTGTTTACACCTTGAAGAAGGTACGGAAATCTTTGCGCCGAGGAGACTGCCGCGCGCACATTTGGCTCCTCGGCCACTGTTTAACTTTGGCCAATGATTCTAATTTTTGGCAATCATAGGTCATGAACGGCGAGGTCACCAAGTCTGCCCACCCCGCTCGCTTCTCCCCCGATGACAAGTACTCTCGGTAAGTAGCTATTTGTTCTGCATGGTGCACAATTGAAGCATGGAAACTAACCTCTTTCTCAGTCACCGTGTCACCCTGAAGAAGCGTTACAACCTTCTCCTCACCCAGCAGCCCGGTACGTCTTCTTCAAGAATTACGCCTTCGCAGAACTGCAAACTAATATGCTATTGTCCAGACACTCCTGTCAAGGCTTAAATTGATCGATACTGGGGAAAATGAATTACCGGGTGGTATAGCCCATGTTTTGGCGAATGGTGTTTTTCTTGTGGTCAACGGATGGCTGAGATGTCCATACTTGTTTTGCTGTCCTTGGATAACCTATCCGAGGCTTCATCTAGACATTCTAGAGAATATTATACCTGATCTAGGTAATCAACAAAGATTTTGTTAAAATGTTCATAAAGAGCCCTATGGATTGGCTATATATTCTATGTTCAACCGTAAATCACAAGACATGGTCATTCCTCATAAAAAGGCCGACAACCACTATGACAGCGGTATTGACCAAGTGAACTTTTTCTTTCCATGCCCCAAAACTCCAGCCCATATAATCAAGATGCAAAATCATACACGCAGCACATTTAGCGCTTCTTCGAGTTGACATTGCGGCCAGCACCGACCTTGGTACGGCCACCAGCCCTGTTGCGCTCACCGGTCAAGATACCGGGCAGGTAGTCTTGGTCCATGAGATCACGCTCGCGACGCTGCCGCCGCTCTTCTTCCTGGTTGGCGCGGACATACTCCTTCTGATCTTCGGCAAGGACGAGCTCGGTGCCCCATCCTCGCTGGCCACCGCCGCCCTTCCACTTGCCGTTCGAGCTGCCTGCAATTGGCTTGGGAACGCTGTATACATTGCCGCGCTTGTTCCACTGCATGTTCTTCTTCAGGTGCATTGTGAATGCGCCGTTGGCAGTGGTGGTGCATGAGACACGAGTGAGAGTATCCTTGCCACAGCGAGGACAGAACTGCTTGTTCATCTCCTTTGTGGTCAGGAAGCAAGCGTGGCAACGCTTGATGAAGGTTCTGAGATGCTGGATCTTCTGGAGGGTGGTGGTAGATAGAAGGTTGAGGTTCATTTGCAGGAGAACGTTTTGACACTATACAGAATAAGCAATTGGGCAATAGACAGATGTTGTGTGGGATGTACTTACGGCGAAATCAGTAGTCATAGTCGCAACCTGCATTGTCTTGGGCGCAGCGGTAAGAGTCGATGTTCCCGACTCATCCTCAGCAAGACGCTTTTTATAGTTAGAGGGTGTGATCCATTCTCCGTCGTCAGCATCATCCTCTGCATCCTGATCTTCGTCCTCGTCTTCTTCTTCGACGATCACGGCCGCAATCTCGGCGACTTCATCAGCCTCGTTCGCTGCAGCGGTTTCTTCCTCCTTTGGAATCTCTTCCTGGATGTCTGCGACTGTAGTCTCCTTGACTCCATCTGTGATGGCTTCTACCTCCGCATCCTCGGGCTTAGCCTCCTCGGATTCCTCCTTGACAGGTGGCTTTCCATTGATTCTCTTCTGGCCAGGAACGCTTCTTAACCGCCAATCTCCTTCATTCTTTTCGCACTCAATTTCGTACGCAAGGGCGAGGACCTCAATATCTGTTCTACTGAGAACAGAACGGTCACCGGTCTTGCGAGCAAATTCGCTGATGATATTGAAGCTCTTGGGTGTGGGGGATCGCTGCTTCAAGAAAGGCAGGTATAGGGTCTCGACACGTGCGCGGGCATCTGGATCGCGGATCTCAGCCACCACGGAGGGGGTGGTGATAATCTCGTCGCACTGGGCAAGGAGGGTTGAAAGCGGCGGGGTATTCTTGAGAATTGGGCCAGCGTCCAGCACGATTGTATGGACGGCCTTGGTGGATTCGGCAGTAGTGCCTGCCATTTTGTCCTGTGTATGAGGACTATTTCCACCGATCGACAATGAGAAAAGAGGATATCGTTGGCGACTTGAAAGAATTGGCCGAGTTGTGGAAATGAAATTTCTCTGTGAACGGTGGCCTGTGCGTCCTTATCGGTCTATCTTATCGCCTATCCAAATCTACGGCACTTTCGTCTGTAACAAGCAATTGGACAATACATTCATTCTCTAGTTATTTGGGACTCAGATCATAGTATCAAACATTCCATCTTCAGTTGAAGGCAGGCCAGTTAAAACGGAGACCAAAATTCTGATGTTGCCAAGCGATTTTCCACGAGACTTGAGATACGCCAACACAATTT